CGAGCTGAGGGGCCGATGCTTTCCAGTGGATGGCAGGCAGACCTGAGGGCTGGCGATGTTGGCTTCCCTTTTTCTCTATATCTGTCTTGTGTTTGTGGTGTTATTTTTTGCCTCCCCCCCACCTTTTTTTTTTTTTTTTTTTTAAATAAACACATATCGCTAAATGAGAATATGTCAAATGTGCACAGTGTTGTGTTGGTTTAGACCGGCCTTGAGGTTTTTTTTTTGTTTTAGCGACAACCTCCCAGCCCACCTTCCTCAAAGGTTTCACAATAATGGGTCTCAACCTAGTGCTCTGTGGGGAGCGGCCACAGGGTTTGGACAGGTTCAAGTCTTGAACTGATGAGAGGGCACAGTTCTCTCGTGGCCACGTGCAAGTCCCAGCTTGGAGGGCAGAACCCTCCCAGCACGATGACAGCCAACAGCTATAGTTGTAAGCTTGAACCTATGGTTCGACCATGTGACCCCACGAGCCTGAGTGATGTGGGCTTGACAGAGTTCAGGTGCATGTGATTGAGTAGGAATGAAACCCACTAGAATATTATAAACACCTCGACCACGCCCTTACTTTGCCTTGTGGCATCCGCTATAAAATAAAGACACGGCCTGTAGTCCGTGGTTCTGTCGCTAGCTCTCCATCAGAGAGGACAGTGTTCCACCCAGTCCCAGCTTTCTTCTCTTGTCTGCCTTTTCTCAATCCTTCACCGCCCCCTCTCAGGGTCACCCTTGGTCGGGCTCTCGAGGCACAGTGCTCCTTCGAAGCAATCTGGAATGGAGTCTGGGGGAGTCTCCCTGCTGGTTTATTACGCAGCTTTTCTCACTGTCCTCTGGACAGCGGGAGAAAAGCCCATGGAGATCCCTCCTCACCGCTTCCCCATCGGTTTCCAGTCACTAGGAGGGCAGTAGATAGAGCACAGGGGTAATCGCCACAATTCTGGGTCCTTCATCACTGACTCACTGTCTGACTTTAGCCAAGATCCCTCAACCCTCTTTACCTTAGTCCCCCCATCTGTACCTCATAAAATTGTCCTGAGGATTAAGTGAGATGTAACATGTAAACATTCATTCCATGCCTGGCATATGACAGATACTCAATAAATATTAGCTATTGGCTTTATTATTCTCAGGTACTGGAGACACAAGGCAGAACTGTTTAACAATGAGATTTCGTTGTCAGGAGTGAGTTTCCAAAGCAGATCTAGAATGAGAACAACCCCCTGGCTTTCAGGACTGCCTGAGAGTGGTAACTAAACGTGACAACATGCTAATAAAGGCTGACATTTGTGTTAGGTTAATGTTTCTGCTTCTTGGAAGCCAAGCAGCAGCTGCCCAGCTGAGCCCCTGCCTCAGAGGCACTCAGGCTGCACTGTGTGCCTGGCTCCCACCCACACTTCCTTCCCCCGGGCTCTGGTCTACTCCGCGGTTCAACTCCCCACGGGCCACGCCCGACTTAGGGTTGTATTGCTCTGAGCAAGGGATAGTTATTAAAGTATTTTTCTGAGTCACATTTTTAGCTGCCCCAGGCACTTAATTCCATGCATTTTGGCAAAGAAATGCACTTTCCCACAAATAATGTTGTATTTACTAAATCACCTACATTTTACAAAAAACAAATATATTTTCCTCTAGACAAGGGGCACTTTCTCAAAAGTGTGAGTTCTACAGAGGTTTTGATGGTTTTTAGTTATTAAAAAAAAAGTAATGACATAGAGAGCTTTGTTTTTTTAATATTCCTTGACTTCTTTGTTTCTAAATACAAAATGGATGAGAGGACTAATTTAATCTTAGCCGTTAGCAAGCTCCTTGCTCAACTGGGTCATATAATAGCTATTTTTAAGCATGAATGGTGCTCACTTTGGCATCACATATATTAAAATATTAAGCATGAATGAGAAGACCTTTCAAATGAAAATTCTTAATTCACTTTTAATAATTTAAAAAGAGAGCAGTCCTCCATCCCACCCTTGGCATTCAAAACTAAGGCAAAATACTAGTGTTCTTCTTTAAAATGATAGATAACCTTTTTATTTGTTTTTTTTTTATAGCTAGATATGAGGGACCAACCTCATAAAGAATCTGAAGTTACTTACGTACTTCAAGTGACCAGGCTGTTGTGGGGGCAGTTTGGGGCAACCAAGCCAGCAGGTGGGGGGTGCAGTTGGGAGCAACCAGGCTGGCAGGGGGGGCAATTGGGGGTAATTAGGCCAGCAGGAGGGGCAATGAGGGATGACTAGGCTGGTTTTGGTGCAGTTAGGGGTGACCAGGCTGGCGGGGGGGGGGGGGGCGGCAGTAAGAGGTGACCAAGCTGGTGGGGGGCAGTTAGGAGCAACCAGGCTGGGAAGAAGGGGGCAGTTGGAGGTGACCTGGTTGGCATACAGAGGCAGTGAGGGGCTATTAGGCTGGCAGGGAGGTCGGAGGGTAGGGGGGCAGTTAGGGGTAACCATGCAGGCAGGCAGGTGAGCAATTAAAGAGCCAGTGGTCCAGGATTGTGAGGGGGTTAAGAGGTTGCAGGTTGGGCTGAGGGGACCCTTACCCCTCACCCCCATGCACAAATTTCATGCACCAGGCCTCTAGTCATATCATAATAGACAATGGACAAGGTAAATAAGTAAAGTATTAGTGGTTTGGATAGTATTAATTGTTACATGAGAAAAAAAATAACACAGGGAAAGGACAGGAACTGCTGTGATGGGAGAGTGAGTACTAAAATCCTAGGTGGGGTGGCCAGGGAAACCTTATTAAAAGTCAGGCTTGATGAAAGACCGGAAGACAATCAGGGAGCCAGCATGTGGCTATATAGACGGGGCCATCCAGGCAGAGGGAAGAGCCCACACGAGAGCTCTGAGGTGGGAGAGAGCCTGGCGGGTTATCAATCTAGAGAAAGGAAGGCTTAATTAATTTGCTTCGGTTCTTTATGTTTTAGGGCCAGAGGTCCTTTATAGGATGTGATGACAAAGGTATTTATCCAGCTCCAGGGAAGTTGGACTTGCAGGAAGGGCGCAGAGAGAAGTAGGAGAGGATGGTCACATTTGCACCAGGGGTGACAGGAGTCTGGGTTACGGAAGCGCAGCTGGATTCAAGGAAGAGAGGATCGGGGGAGGGACTTGATGCAGGCGAGCGAGGCATTGATTTGGAGGTAGGTAGGTGTCCTGCGGGACACCCAGGTCCTGGCTGGAAGTTGGTAGATCCATTTCATGGGGCCCCAGATTGGAAACCTGGAAATCCAGCGTCCCTGATGGCAGCAGAGTCCACCGGCTCAGCGCCCTCTTGGTGGAGCTGCCCGGAGAGCTCAGGAAGCTCAGGCACAGGCCAGCCAGCCCCTTGGATGGTTATGTTATCAAGATTCAGCTCTGGGCTCTGTGTCCCCATTTACAGTATACACATGAGAAGAAGTCCCACTGAACGGTGTCTTTCTAAATCTCTTTGGCTGGGCACGGTTAAGGGTTAAGGAAAACCTCGCCTTTGTTCATTTTTTAATCTTTTAGATGGAAGATCTGATGGTCAGCACTACTGCCCAAGTTAAGTTCTCTTTGAGAGTCTCTTCCTGCTTACCCCTCACACTTTGGACTTTATGAAGTCATAACCCCTCTTTTCACCCTTCCCTCCTCTCACAGTTTCATCCCCCCATTACCTCATGCACATCTCAGATCCACATCCCCCCTCTTTGCTGCTCTCTCCACATGGTGTCCTCCACTCCTTGTGTGAAAAGAGCTCCCCACCTTCAGCCCTACTCCTTCCCTGGTAGGGACCAGCTTGGCTGACAGACACTCCCAGGTTCCACTGGGAGCCTGAGTAAGCTCCCCCCTCCCTGCCCCGCCCTCCCACTTGGCCATGGGATAGTGGAAGGTGGAGGTTACAGCCCAGGCCTCGGATCAGGCAGATCTGGTTTCACATCTGGCTAAGCCACTACCTGTCATGTTATTGACTCCAGGACTCATCTGAAGTGAGAGTAAAAATACATAGGATTTCTGTAAACTGCACTGAAATAATGTATGCAGAGCACTTGGTTTCATGCCTGGCTTATAGAAAGTGCTTATAAAAGATTTGTGTAATAATTAGTCTTACTGCTTTAAAAAAAAAAAAGACTATTTCAATTGTCTTCTAATCAGCCCCCTACCACTATTACCAGCAAATTATTTAATTAACATGAAACTTTTATTTACAAATTAAAAAAAAAATCAATCCTTACCCAAGAATATGTTTCCATTGATTTTGAGAGAGAGAGAAAGGAAAGGAAAGACAGTGAGAGAGAAAGAGAGAGAGAAATGTGAGAAAAACATTTCTCCCTCATGCACCCTGGCTGGGGACCAAACCAGCCACCCAGGCATATGGCCTGACTGGGCATTAAACCTGCAGTCTTTTGGTGTATGGGACTGTGCTCAACCAACGGAGCTACCAGGCCAGGGCAACATAAACTTTTAAAAATGTAGGTTTACTAATACCCCTCTCCAACTGAAAACTTGCAATTGAATAAGTAACCCTCACACATACAAGCACACACACACACACACACACACGTACTTACACTCACATATGCACACACATTCACACAGGTGCACACACTCTCCCTCCGTCCTCTTCTGCACCTGGCCCCTTATTCGATGTCTTTCCTCTTGGAAGAAGCTTCTGAGTGTGTTTGACTATAGAAGCCCAACCTTCATTCTCACACTTGACCATCTGCTCTTCAACCCAGATTCTCAGGTTGGATCCATCCCTTGTTCCTCCTTTCCTTCTATACAACAATTTGCTTTTCCAGCCTTCTGGCACGTGGCACAGTGAATCTCACAGCCCTAAAGCCAGGACTCTCTGATCTGAGTGAATTAGTGAACACGTACCCTGTCTCGGGGCCTCAGAGGCTAGCCTCCCATTTCCACAAGGTTACTGCTCAATAGCAACTGCCTGTTGAATTCGGTAAGGGAGATCTAGAGACTAGATTCTAGTCTCTGAGATGGAACTGTAAACACGCAGGCAGCGTGGAGGCTTGCGTTTACCCAGCCACGTGCTGCGCCCTGGTTCACAGCTTCCAGTTGGAGGGAGGGTGAGAGTGTGTCTGCACGGCCATCCGTCTCTCTAAGTGCCAGCAGGCCCAGGTCCCCCCAGTCTTTGTTTCACTAACTTACGCTTCCTTCTCTCCACCCATGAGCCTTTTTGGTAGTTGCCACCTGACAGTTTAAACCAGAGATTTAAAACCAGGTTCAACCAGTCTGACAAGCTAAAAAGGGAGACATTCAGGGGTAGAGTGGATATGGAAATGGCCCGTCAGTGGGTCAGTGGGCTACAGGTTTGGGAGGCCCACCTTTGTCCTGATAGATGATGTGTTCTCCAATGCTTGGAAGAAGATTTAGTAACACGTTTTCTCTGCATGCAGTGCTGTGGTCTGGCCCAACATACTGCTAAGCAGAATGATGGCACACTTTTAAGGAAATCAAACAGCTACAATACTTCTTGAAACTTGGAAAGTTATTCCAACTGAGAATTCCCTTCCTAGCGTTGGGTAAGAGAAATGGCCAAGAATGTTCTAAAATTAGCTCCAGTTCCCTTATCCTCAGACACATCACCATCTGGTGTTTCTCTCCTGGACTCGCAGAAAGCCGGCTGGATCCGAGTAGCTCAAATGCCAGCAGCATCTCATCGGAGAGGTTCACTTGGTATCAAACTCACAAAGCTCGGAGTCTCTCCATCACACCCAGGTGATGGGTGTGCTGGACTGGAGCCGAGGCGGCTCTTCTTAACCTGGTCTCGGAAGAATGTATGTTACAGTCTCAGCTGGGGATGCCTCTGCTGCGGTAGTGTGTCAGATGGGACTACAGAATGAAGAAAGCTATGTTACCTAAAATTAAACATAGCACCTTTATCCTCACTAATATTTGTTCTTAACAAAACTTTGGAAGTGGGCACTGATTTCCACAATAACTGCCCTAAAGATGATGAACAACTGTTGTCTGCTGAAAGAGAGTTTAGTACAAAAGGAAAAGAACGTTCACTCGAAGCCTCAGTGTTTCTTTCAAAGTCTAGGCTGGGAGAAGTCAGAACCTCACTGAGTCTTTACTTCACTCCTCAGCAAGTTTCTGCGTCAGAGCTTCCTGACCCCCTAGCAAGGCATGCTCGCTGCTGAATGAAGAGAATCCCACCTGCCCAGAAAACAGGAGACCATACCTTCTGTTGTGTGTCTATGGGCTCCATGGTTAAGTGTCTTCAGAGTAAACTGAGAGTCCGCTTACTTATTATTTGCTCTGCGAAGCTTGGCCCACTCCCCAGGTCAGATTAAGCCTGCCTTTCTGTCTGAAGCCGTAGTGTAACTGGGAGCTGTGGGGACCATGTCTGGGAAAGGCTATTTGTACCTACAATCTCTCACTGGTTCCTGAGCAGGGGGTACCCCTTGGTGGCTTAGCAAAGCTAATTGGTGTGGATATGTGAGCTGAGACAGCATACATCTTTGTGATAAAAAAGGGAGCCGGGAGATCACAGAAGAAGGAAAATCCGGAGGCTGGCGAGTTGGTGGGTGGAGGTTCAAGAAGCAGTAGAGAAAGTTGCGATCTCGGAGCACTTAGGTGGGTGTGAAATCAAGGGCTGGAATGAAGAGCAAATCCTTCACAAACTTTCATTTATTTATTCTTATTAGTTTGTTTGTTTCTTTGTTTGTTTTGCATTTGCATTTGCATTGCGATATGTCATGTCAACATCAACAGCCCCCAATGGAATCTTCTAGATATCTCACACATAGCTCTTGGGTATGGTGCTGAATTCCACGACCCATTGGCACCTGGTTCTGGTGGGTGTGCCGTTGTGTGTGGGCCGAGGTCAGGGTTACCAGACGTGTGTCCTGGTTTGTGGGGGATGGGCCTGATGCAGGTGTCACCTGCTGTCCTGCCTTAATTATTTGAAAGAGCTCACTTTGATTGCAAAAGGGTATCTGAGTGATAAATTATAAGGCCACACAAAAGAGCTTTCATATTACTGTACTTTGAAGACCAGACATTTTATCCCTGAATTGACCATTTATCTACCTCCACACCTGGAATCATGGGTTCCCTGAGGGACAGGCTACCATCTTCACTAATTCATTCGACACTATGTACTGAGTTGTGTTATATGTGTCAGGTGCCAGGATATAGCCAAAAATAAGAAATGGTTTCTACACTCAAAGATCTTACAATATAGTGGGGCAGGCTGATGTGTAACCAGGAATAATAGTAACAGAGATATAAGGCTCACACTGGGTTTCTCCACCCCAACATGACTGGCATTTGGACTGGAAATTTCTTTGTTGTCCTGAGGCAGTGGTCGGCAAACTCATTAGTCAACAGAGTCAGATATCAACAGTACAACGATTGAAATTTCTTTTGAGAGCCACATTTTTTAAATTTAAACTTCTTCTAACGCCACTTCTTCAAAATAGACTTGCCCAGGCTGTGGTATTTTGTGGAAGAGCCACATTCAAGGGGCTAAAGAGCCACATGTGGTTTGCGAGCTACAGTTTGCCAACCACTGTGGTGGGGTATCCTGCACCTTAGGATGTTTGGCAGCATTCCAGGCCTCTACCACTAGGTGCCAGTAGTACCCCCTCCTGTAGTGACAACCAAATGTCCCCAGCCTGTGTGAGATTTCACATCCCTTCATGCCTCCACCTCCTGTCCCCTGGTCCCTGCCACCTCCTGTTCAGTTCTAGTTAAGGCTGGACCCCAGGCATCATGGCAGAAACTTCAAACCCCGATCTGGGCAGTCATATTAATTCTTTATCCAAATCCCCTAGCTGATCCTTAGCAAACGCTTGATGAGGGAATGGGATGCATAATATCATACTGTCCTTCAGGATTCCTGGGACAAAGTTTGGTAAACTAGGGGGACCTTCAAGTCTGAGGGCACAGGCAGAATTTGGCCAATAAATTTCACTCAGAATCACTGGCGCCAACAAAGTTCCTAGGAACATGCTGAGTAGCCCCAAAGGGACTTGTCCCCCAAAAATGTCAGAGTTTAGGTTTCTTAGCAATTATTTTCATGTTAATAAACACTGACTGTCAAGCACTTTTGCAAATATCAGGTGCATGAAATGTTGAATAGTTATTATAAAGCCACATAAATATTTTAGATTTAATCATCCACAGCAGGGAAAGAAAAGAGCCTAGATTCTAAGAGGGGGAAAGAAAAATAGCCCTGACATTCAACTAATGGCTTCACCAACCAATGCCCCCACCTGGGAGCTCCAAGCCCAGTGCATGTTGGAAGTAAATATTCTTTGCAAAACTGAGTTCAATCTATCCCACCTTCAGTGGAGGCATCTTGTCCCAAAGTCAGCTATTGTCTTGACGTAAATGAGGACAAAAAAATTCAGAGCACAACCCATAATCCTTTTCACCCAACCTCTGCCTTGAACCAGACTGACATGGAATAATGGGATTGCTGGGTGGCAGCAGGAGCCCTTTCTGCATGGCCTTGGAGGTGACAATGGAGCTTTCTGGAACAAGCTGAGTGACTGTGGGCAAGTGACAACTTCTTTGAGCCTCTGTTGGTAAGACAGAGAGTGAAGAAAGGAATGATTTCAAAGCTGCTCACAGAACTCATGATTTTCTCTACATTCTTAAAAACTCATAGAATTGGGGGTGTCACAGCATTAATTTTTATTTGGGGGGGGGGGAAATGGCATTAGAAACCAGCCTCTCAACAGCCTTGGCTTCCTGCGTTAAGAGGCTCCCTAAAGTGGGATTCAGCCTGGCAGAGCGGCGTGCTGAGGTCGGCAGCCACGTGGGATGAGCAGGTGTGATCACCTGCCTCCTGAGCTGATTCCGGCTCTCCCCTCACCTGGCTGGTTTTGTGCGGCCCATTACAGCACCTCATCAACTGGACCCTGATCCAGCTGGCTCTGGAAACACCCTCCTTTTCCCAAAGACAAGTATTCCCAGCAATTGCACAGAGACCCAGGGATGTTATTTAGAAGCTGCAATTAATAATAAGATTGTTTCCCCCCTACGGATCAGTTGTTCCCCTAATTGTCAAACCAGAAGGCCTTTGCTGACGCTCCAGAGGTTCACTTCATTTGTAGCTCTTAGAGCACACACACAACCCGGCAGAATAGCTGCCTCTTTGTCTTAATGTTGTTGCTAAGCCTAAAGCAAAACAAAACACAGAAAACTCTTCCCTCATTTAATTCCTTCAGGAAGCGCCTGCTTCTTGGCGCTTATTAAAAATGGAAAGGCAGTCCTGGGAGGCTTCTAGGGGTCTAAGTTCATAAAGTGAATATGCATAAAGGCAGCAGGAGACCAAGTTTTTATAATTACACCTTGTCAGGCGTACAATTCCTGCAGTAAGATCAGCTGTGATTTGGGCTGATTTAATAAGAGCCGTTCTCATTTAAATCTATCCCTTCACTCCTCCTTAGCTATTGTTCAGGCTTAGATGGGGAAAATGGCTTCCTACTTCCCACTTTCACAAACCCGTGAGGATTCCACATTTCCAAACAAGAATGATGAGATAACAATTAATTTCTGATCTTTTCCCTCTAATTCAAAGCTTGGGGGGAAAGGAGTATTTCTGGTTTGGAGAGATAAAGATTAAATGAGAGAGCAAAAGAGGATGGAGAGACACAGGCTTGCCAATGTAACACCTTACCCTATATCAGCAAGCGTGGAGCTTTGTAGCAAGAACAATGCTTATGACAGAAGAGGAGAGTTTGAATAACCTCACAGCAAAAGAGGCAGGTAAGGGGAAATACCAAAAAAAGCATAGACAGAATTGGAATTTTGATGAAAATGAAAGCCTGTCAGAACAATTTGGTTCAACAGGTAGAATTGGAAAGATTTTAAGTTGAATTACGACCGAAAGTGGACATATGGCAGCATAAAACATAAAGATGCCTCAGAGATATGTATGATTAGCTTAAACTAAAAGTCTGAATTATAGTTAAGGAGGCATGCATATGCAAATGGAGCTTGGAGTTCATTCCTTTAATAAGCGTTTATTGAATTCCTGATATTTCCTACTTAGTGCAGGTTCTTCAGAAACAACAAAACCAGACCTGTTTTCAAGATTTTCATTTTCCAGCACAGGAAGCTGACACAAACAGCAAAGTAAAAATGTGGCATTGTCCTGCAATCACAGATGTGGGTGGGGTCACCTGGTCCAGCCAGAAAAATATTTTCTCCAGATAATGTCATTTGTTTTAGAGAAATAAGTTGGCTTATCTTCCACCTACCTTAGGAATCCATTCATATATAGCCTCTCACCAAGTTACTTTATATCAGCAAGAGTTAAATATCTTTGTGAATTAGCTTTATTAGACAAAGTAGAAAAGAGGTTTCTGTTACTTTACAAGCATTTGGAAATTACCTGAATTTTGAAACAGAATATTACCAATTATCTACTCTTCTCTGGGGAAATCTATATTCAAGAGATATGGATTTTTTAAGAGAATGGCTCTTACTCAAGAATAATTCTTTAGTTTTCTGATTACATATTAACCAAATCACCTCCCCCAACCAGGAAGCAGAGAAGCATCAGTAACCAGAGGTTGAAATGATGCTTCGGGAGTTTAAAAATATGAATTCACCTTGATGAAGCACAATTATGAATAGTTCTTTTAACTGAGAGGTATGAATTAAAGCAAATTTCACTTGTCAGAGAGGAGCAAGATTAATACAATGCTGTGTGTGCTTTGAAATAGCAAGCTCTGTTTCTTTCGAGATGAGGCATTGTCTTAATCACGACGTTTATTGGGATTTTTGAAGTACTTTTGCTTAAAGTGTAGCAGTCCCAATGGATACCTCTAATATCTATATAGCCAGATCTAGATAGTGCATATTTGTATTTTTGGGAGTTCTTTCTTGTGCCACACTGGGGGCCGCACAGCCAAGGGTGAACCTGAGTGGGGGTGGTGAAAGGCTTAGAAAAGACAGACAAGAGAATGAAAGCTAGGTCTCCGTGAGAGACTGCTTTCCTGAGAGACAGCGTCAACACCCACAACCTGTGTCTTTATTTTATAGCAGATGCCACAAGGCAAAGTGAGGGCGTGGTCAAGATGTTTACAACATCCTCGTGGGTTTCAATCCCACTTAACTACATGCACCCGATCAAGCTTTGTTTCCTTGCAGCCTATCTCACTCAGGCACGTGGGGCCATGTGTTCGGACCACAGGTTCAAGCTTACAACTAGAGCTGTTGGCTATAATTGTGCTGGGAGGGTTCTGCCCTCCAAGCTGGGATTTGCATGTGGCAATGAGAGGCCTGTGCCCTCTCATTAGTCCTAGGCTTGAACCTGTCCAAACACTGTAGCTGCTCCTCACATTTTCTATGTTTCTTTTGGAATATACATTTGCTACGTACAGCCAGTGCGAACTACAGCTCCTGGCACACAGTAGGAACTCGACGAACGCTTACACATACCCTATCCTTCATGACCAGCGTGGGAGGTCATTGATTTCACTGTTAGTACTGACTTTAGGGAACTAAAATGTGTTAGAAATAGTGCTTACCCTTCAGATGTTCAGTGTTTAGTGGTGGAATCAGATAAAACCACATCTAATTGAAGTACAAACCAGGAATGGTTTACACACAAAGACTTCCACACAGAGCTGTGGAGGTCTGAGGAGGGAGAATTCATATATCTTCAGAAGGAAGGATGTGGACAGTGAAGAAATTCTTCATGGAACAGGTAGCTTTTGAGATAGTTCTCTGAGGATGAGTCAGATTTTGACAGGCTGAGAGGGGGGAGGGAAGGAAGACCTTCAGGTGGCAGGTACTCAATAACTATGCAGAAATAGAAATGCATGCAGCATGCCGAGGGAATGGTAAGCAGTTCAGTTTGGCTAAAACACCAGCTGTAGGAATGGTCTAAGATGGCTCTGGAGTGTAGGTGAAGGGTCGTGGCTTAGGTGGGCCTCCAATGCTGGAGTGAGGAGTCTGTTTTCTATAAAGCAGAGGTGGCTAATGCCTAAACACAGCTGCGTTTATGATGATGGCAGAATGGAAGTCAGGAGGTAGGCGACCACTCCACCAAAAGCCTCCATAAATTTGACTTAATCTGAATCAGTTCTCTCCACAGCCCCTCACCTGTTCGCTATCATTTTGCCAATCCCCAAGGCACTGGGATGTCAGAAAGCCTAGAATAGGGTCCCACGCAGTCGGATTTTCTAATGAGGGACATTAATCCTATTAGTTTGGTCTTGTTTTTTGTTTTTTTTTTCAATCCCGAATCAACAATTTATAGAACAAGTCTAAAAATAAATAAAAGGAAGAAAGAGAATGGAACTAAAACTGAAAAGGCTGCGGGGTACATTGTACCTGGGGTGTGAGAGGCATGGCCACCTTTATGCAGAAGCTCTTGGGAGGCCCACTGCAGCGGGCAGGGCGGGGCCAAAATGCCTACCAACCATTGCTGCTCCCCGGCCATCTGCTGGGCTGCTTGCCACTACACTGGGGACAGCCCAGGGTGAAACTGACAAAGCATCCCATTATTTAAAAACTCACCACCTGGAATTTTTGAATGTGTGCTTACTTCTGCTTGTGCCCAGAGGAGCAATTAATGGTCTTGAACTTCACTTACGGAGCCCCAGTGAGACAGGACACTGCCAAATGCAGGGCTACACAGAGCACAGCACCCGGCTAAGCTTTCGCTGCCATGCAGATCAATGCCTGTTGTGGGGACTTCTCACTGGTGATTAAATCTTGAGCTTCAGCATACTTAAACGTGACTTGATTGGATATTTTCTGTCCCTTAGTGTCTCAAGTTTCAAAAGTAATGTTTCAGTGGCAACCTTCTAACAACAAGTTTAAATTGTTTCCTCTCTGGGAAGAAAATTCTATGTAGATTTTTATTTTTATTATTTCTCTTCTCCAATATTGCAGGGTTTAGAGTAGAATCAGAAGTTGAAATCCAAATTTTTCATTCAGGTTGGGGGTAATCGGTTGGGATATGTTTCATAGGTGTTTAACAGAAACTTCAGCTTTAAAAATCAGGAAGACAATAGATTTCAGGGTTTTATCTAAAAGAAATGATTTAAAATGTGTGTCAACAGACCATAGTGTGGTGATAGCCAGAGAGAAAGGGGGTGAGAGTAGTGGAGATGGGCAAAGAGGGGGTGTCGTGGGACAGAAGGAGACTTTGCTTGGGGGAGTGGGTGCACAATGCAGTGTGCAGATGAGATTCTGTTGAGTTGTACACTTGAAACCTGTGTGGTTTTGTGAACCAATGTTACCCCAATAAATTCAATAAAAAATAAATTGTGTCAAAATTGAAGTGCAAGGCTGATCATAATATTGTTTATGAGAGAGAAAACTTCAAAGCCATGAAAAATTCAAAGTCCAACAATAAAAAATTGACTGAATAATTCATGTTATCTCACCATAATGGGATATTATGCATCTATTAAAAATGGAAAAACAAAAAACAAAACTAGAGTTAAGGGATTAAGAAAAAAAAAAAGACACTACAAAAAAACCAAACCAAAACAAAACTTATAGACAGAAAACAGTATGGTGAATACCATAGGGAAATGAGGGGTGAAGGGAGGTAGAGGAGAGTATAGGAGAGATAAATGGCGATGGAAGGAGACTTGACTTGGGTGGTGAACACACAATACAATATTTAGGTAATGTATCATATTACAGAACTGTACACTTGAAACCTATATAATTTTATTAACCAACTAGAGGCCTGGTGCATGAAAATTTGTGCACTCTGGGGGGCGGGGTGGTGGTGGTGAGGCTGGGTTCCTCAGCCTGGCCTGCACCTTCTCACAGTCCAGGACCCCTCAGGGGATGTTCACCTGCCAGCTTAGGCCCGCTCCCCAGGGGAGGGGGCCTAAGCTGGCAGTCAGATATCCCTCCAGCAGCCCAGGAGCCCTCAGGGAATGTCTGACTAACTGCTTAAGTCATTAGTCAGATATCCTTAGCACTGCTGCAGAGGCGGGAGAGGCTCTCGCCACCACTGCGGTGCAGGTCGGCCATGAGCCAGCTTCTGGCTGAGTGGTGCTCCCCCTGTGGAAGTGCATTGAACATGTGCCCTCTGGTGGTCAATGCATGTTATAGTGACCAGACATTCTGCCATTAAGGTTAATTTGCATATTACTCTTATTATATAGGATGTCACCCCAATAAATTCAATAAAAAGAAAAAGCTAGTGTTAAATAATAATGAATATAGAAGTACTACCAGACTACCAGTATTTTATCTTATTCTCTCTTGGTCTTATGAATAAATAAATAAACTATTATTAAGCATTTGCTATGTGCTTAGCACCTAACAACAACCATATTAGAGAACTTTTGTTGAATATCAATAACTATCTTTTGATATATGGGTTCTTATAACTTTTTTACAAAGAAGTAGAAATGATATATTGATGACAATCATTTCATTTGGCAAGTATTAGAAACCCAATCAAGCCCAACAAACCCAGCTTTTCCATGTAGCTGGAAAGTATGGCCAAATCCACTGCTTATTTTTATCTTTATTTTTGTTGTTGTTATTAGTGTGTTTTTTTTTTCTTTCTCTATCTTATTTTCTCTCCATATCTAGGAGCTGTGTATCTCTGTTGAGCTTTATTATTACTTTTTAAATATATTTTTATTGGTTTCAGAGAGGAAGGAAGAGGGAGAGAGAGAGAGAAATATCCATGATGAGAGAGAATCATGGATTGGCTGCCTTCTGCAGGTTCCTCACTGGGGATCAAGCCCACAACCTGGGCATGTGCCCCTGACCAGAATTGAACCTGTTACCCTTAGGTTTGCAGGCTGATGCTCTATCCACTGAGCCAAACCGGCTTAGCTTTATTATTTACAGAGTCCTTCCACACTGTGCACAATGTGGCCACCATGTAGACTCACGTCTTCTATAATACCTAGCAGTTTCAGAGAAAGAAGAACCTCACTCCAGAGATAAACCCCAGAGGAGACTTTGATGGCCTGGCTTGAGTCACTTGACCTTTTATGTTACTGATCAACAGTCCAGCAAGGCTATGTGAGAGGGAGAGGGCTGGTTATTCCAGAGAAGGAAGCCAGCAGGCCAAACTAGTGTCTGCTATCACATTATATACCCCTATTTTTAAGATGTTCAAAATGCTGTCCTTTTCATCCAGCTAGTTGCTATTTTTTGTCAAGTCTCATGGGCCCCATCAACTTTCTTTGACCTCACAAGCCAATCATACATGCTCTTTCCTGTGGGTTCCTACATGATGTCTCTATACTGGTAATAACAAACACACTTCTATTGTGCTTTTATATCCTGTTTTGTCTTGTCTTGTCTTGTCTTATTGATTTGATTTTCAGCTCCAGGGTGAATGTTCTTGGATTTTCATTTTCCTCCTCCCAGGTAAAGATGAGATGTGCCATAGCACAGTGGGGATGAGCATGCCTAGAGGCTCACTCACTGTGCATCACCAAACAAGCTACTCAGTCTCTGTAAATCTGATCCAACATCTGTAAAATGGGCACCTTAATAGTGTTTGGAAAAATAAAACAAGATTACTTTTGTTTTATTTATTTTCTGGCCCATGAAAAGCACCCAAAAATAAATGGCAGCTGAAACAATGACATTTAAGCTCTGTTTCCTCTAGCCTCGACTAAAATTTTCCTAAGTTCTTTTTCCATTATAATATATACTTTTTGTCTTTTAATTTCTAGGTTGTCAATATCTGCATAGTTTTCTGTCCATAGGTGTGGCTAGTCAATTTTCCAGTGGACTCCTAGGCTTCAAATAAAACCCATGGAAATTCAGGCTTAGCTGGTTATTTCTTAAAATAATATAGGAATCAATTCAATATTTCTTAGACGGTTGAGAACAACATGGAGGCAAATGCAAAGTTTTAGGTCTCAGAGGTTGAGGGAAGGTGAGATCATATCTTGGCCAAGTTCTCAGGTATTTCCAGAAACCATTTTCCTTCATAAAGGATCCAAGCCAGTTTTACTAGAATCACTTTCTCATCACTTCCTCCATGTTACTTGGGAAAAAAATTTTTTAAAGATTTTTTTCAGAGAGAAACATCGATTGGTTGCTTCCTGCAAGCCCCCTACTCTGGGACCAGGAATTGAACTGGCAACCTTTCAGTGCACAGGACAATGCCCAACCAACTGAGCGACACAAGTGAGGGCACACCTGAGCAAACTTTGGAGTACTTCCTTGTATGGCTTTGTAGCTTTGATTTGGGTCCTGCTCATAAGCAATGGAAGTGAAGATGCCCAGCTGGGAGAAAGGGCTAAGAGGGCTGCAAAATGACCCA